GGGCGGGGCTCCGGGAGGACGGAGTTCCGGGAGGGCGGGGCTCCGGGAGGACGGGGTTCCCGGGAGTGCGGGGTTCCCGGGAGTGCGGGGCTCCGGGAGGACGGGGTTCCCGGGAGTGGGGGGTTCCCGGGAGGGCGGGGCTCCTGGCTCCAGGAACTTCACCCGGGAGCGCAGAAATCCTTCCCGAGGCGGGAAAAACGGATTCCGTTCCACACGGGAAATACTTAGGGTTTCGTTGTGCAGAAGTCTGTATTCGACGTGGACACCGGGGCCACCTACGCACAAAAAGTCTCCACCGTTTGTCTTTTTTACCCTCGGCTGGTGGAAGATGAGAATTTGCCGATTTTAAAAGACCCAAGCAAAATGACAGGAATTGTGGCACATTTCCCTGGATAAGCAAGAGCCCTGCAAACTTAGAGGTCTGGTTCCCTCTTAGGATGAAATACGGTCACGCTTCAGCCTAAGGTGTATCCGTTCTTGAATTTCCTCTCGACCTGTCTGAGGATAGAGCGTACGCGTCCTTCAAACGGGGATGCTGGTGAAGAATGAAAAGGTGTGCTTTCTCAGCTGCATCAATCCTGCCACCAAAGCCTTAATTTATAAGCATTTCTTGTTTTATCTCCTTCATTCTGGGCTGACAAAGGATTTGATTCTTGCATAGGTACACATTTACATACCTGCTCTGAGCCAGGCATGGAGCTCCGTGCTAAACTGTGTACAAACTATCTTTTGGCAAAGGGATTATATCCACTAAAAGGAAGGTTATAATCTGTGTAGAACTAAAGGATTGGTTGCTTTGGCAGGGTGCAGTGGCCCACACCTGTAATCCCAGCACTTTGGGAGGCTGAGGTGGGAGTACCACCGGGGCTCAGGAGTTCAAGACCAGCCTGAGCAACATAGGAAAACTGTCTCTACAAACAGCACAAAAATTAGCCGAGAGTGGTGGTCTGCACCTGCAGTCCCAGCTACTCAGGAGGCTGAGGTGGGAGGATCACCCGAGGCCAGGAGGTTGAGGCTGCAGTGAGCTGTGATTGTGCCGCTGCACTCCAGCCTGGGCAACAGAGCAAGACCTTATCTCAAAAAGAAAAGGAAAAGAATTGGTTCATTTTGTTGTTTTTTATAATGCAGCTTTCTTCTCAAAATACTAAACTGTCAGCATCTCAAAATAAATTGTGTGTCTGCTACACCAAAAGCCTAAGAAACTCCCATGAGTCACCCCAACTCCCTGGAAAGAATCAAGGAACCTGAACAGGTTATCTAGCTGTAGAAATAAAATGGCAGCTGGGACACCAGGATTACTAAATAGATTACTCATAGTAAATTTTTTATTTACTAGGAAAAATTGACATGAAGCTGGGTGTGGTGGCCCACACCTGTAATCCCAGCACTTTGGGAGGCTGAAGCTGGCAGATCACTTGCGGTCAGGGGTTTGAGACCAGCCTGGCCAACATGGTGAAGTCCTGTATCTACTAAAAATACAAAAATTAGCTGAGCATGGTGGCGTTGTGCGTGTAGTCCCAGCTACTCAGAAGGCTGAGGCAAGAGAATCGCTAGAACCTGGGAGGCAGAGGTTACAGTGAGCCAAGATCACGCCATTGCACTCTAGCATGGGCAACAGAGCAAAAGTATGCCTCAAAAAATAATGATAAATAAATAGACATCACCTTCAGTCTTTTGTGAAAACTTTGCTCTCTCAAACCATACTTTAAAAACATGGAGAGGGCTAAGCAAGGTGGCTCATGCCTGTAATCCCAGCACTTTGGGAGGCCAGGGCAGGCGGATCACCTGAGCTCAGGAGTTCAAGACCAGCCTTGCCAACTTGGCGAAACCCCATCTCTACTAAAATACAAAAATTAGCTGGGCGTGGTAGCACACACTTGTAATCCCAGCTACTAGGGAGCCTGAGGCAGAATTGCTTGAACCCAGGGCACAGAAGTTGCAGTGAGTGGAGATCACGCCATTGCACTCCAGCCTTGGTGACAGAGTGAGACTCCATATGAAAAAAAAAAAAAACATGGAGTGGAAAAATTGTCAGCCTCAGCGTCAGAATGTTTCTCTCTGGGTTCTTTCTGCAAAGAACATTTGCAAAATAGCCAACCTTCCACTGCTGTCAAGTCAGATGAGCTTTCATTATTATCTTATAAAGAAGTAACAGTTCTTGGGAAGCTAGGACCTGGCATTCCCAATCCATTAAACACCTGTCTGAAAACACCATTCTGGCCAGGCGCGGTGGCTCCTGCCTGTGATCCCGACAATTTGGGAGGCTGAGGCAGGCGGATCACCTGAGGTCAGGAGTTCAAGACCAGCCTGGCCAACATAGTGAAATCCTGTCCCTACTAAAAGTACAAAAAATCAACCAGGTGTGGTGGCAAGCACCTGTAATCCCAGCTACTCGGGAGGCTGAGGCAGGAGAATCGCTTGAACCTGGGAGGCGGAGGTTGCAGTGAGCTGAGATCATACCATTGCACTCTAGCCTGGGTGACAGTGCAAGACTGTCTCCAAAAAACCCGCACCATTCTATAATACCCTCTGTGTTATAAGCATCATAAACACTGCAAAGAAAAATGTTGAGTTCTTAAAACATCAGGAAACACATTTGAATTCTGAAGAGGAAACGTCACTTTGTTACACATCTCTAAAAACCTACACCTTTAGTGTCCCTGATAGAGGAGGGTTCTCCACGCCCCCCCCCAACTCCCTACTAACTCCATCAGTCACTTGTGGCAGGGAGACTGAGGAGCAAGGGATGGCAATATCCCGTATCCTACTGGATGGGACTAAGATTAACTCTGCTCTGAGCATCCTAAACAGTTGAGTGCCTCCTAAATACCACTAGAAATAGCTCAGAGCCACACTGGAGGCAGCTGGCCCCCAAGCAGCTTCTAGAAGGCCTGGGCAGGAGTCTCAGAATGTGGAAAAACAGTCTGCAAGTGATGACACTGGAAAAGGTAGTGGTTTATTTATTTTCCTATGTTTCAGCAGGAAAAAAAATGAAAGGTTCTGCTGTCACCTCTAGCTCTTCCCTCCTCTCTAACACAGACATGAAATAAAACAATGTAAGTACTTGACCTAGCCAAGTCTTTCTGAAGGGGAATGGACTGGAGCCTGAGAGGGAAGCAGTCCACTGAGTGTCTGAGAAGCACCCTGGGGCCTGAGCAGCCCTGAGGAAGGGACAGCACTGGAGCCCCTCCCATGGACCAAAGGTGTGGGCTGGGCCAGAAAGCCCCTCGCGTG